CAAATACTACGCCTTTTTATGTAAGACTTGAGCATCCAAGGTTTTTGGCATCTAAAGAGGGTCCTGGAACCAATTTCCCACAGATACCGAGGGACAACTGTCTTCATTTTCAGGGAAAAACTCAAACAGAGACAGAAACACAATTTTAGTAGTCACTGCATACCCACCCTTCCCAGCCTCTAGTTTTAATTTTTTTAATTTAAACAAAAATTTCAGCCTGAGCAAAAAAATAAAACCCTGTCTCTACAAAAAGATACCAAAAAAGAAAAAAATTAGCCAGGCATGGTGGTACATGCCTATGGTCCCAGCTACTTTGGAGGCTGAGGTGGGAGGATCACTTAAGCCAGGGAGGCGGAGGCTGCAGCAAACGAGACTCTGTCTCAAAAAAGAAAAAATTAAAAATTAAAAAAAACTTTAAAAGAGAGAAATGAAAAAAAAAATTTTAATTACAATCTGCCTCCTTAGGGCTCAAAAGTTTTAAGTAACTTGATAGCATTCAGATGAACGTAGTACAATGCAGTTTCAAACTTACAAAAAATTTGTTGTAAAAGAATTTAAGAAGGGTCATGTCTGATGACTGTGAATCATCCAAACTTCTACCTCTTTCCAGAGAGGGACATTGTTTGTTTCTCCTTCAGAACAGAGATGATTAAAAAAAAAAACAAAAAACAAACAACGAAAAAACAATAATCGGCCGGGTGCTGTAGCTCACGCCTGTAATCCCAGCACTTTAGGAGGCCGAGGAGGGCGGATCACTTGAGGTCAGCTGTTCGAGACCAGCCCTGCCACCATGGCAAAACCCATGTCTACTAAAAATAAAAAATAAGCCAGGCAAGGTAGCGCATGCCTGAAGACCCAGCTACTAAGGAGGCTGAGGCAGAAGAACTGCTTGAACCCGCCAGGCGCAGTCGCTCACGCCTGTAATCCCAGCACTTGGGGAGGCGGAGGTAGGCAAATCATGGGGTCAAGAGAGACCATCCTGGCCAACATGGTGAAACCCTATCTCTACCAAAAATACAAAAATTAGTTGGGCATGGTGGCATGCGCCTGTAGTACCAGCTACTCGGGAGGCTAAAGCAGGAGGATCGCTTGAACCCAGGAGGTAGAGGTTGCAGTGAGCACAGATCCCGCCACTGCACTCCAGCCTAGCAACAAAGACTCAGTCTCAAAAAAAAAAAAAGACCTGCTTGATCCCAGGACACAGAGGTTTCTGAGATTGCGCCACTCTCTAGCCTGGGTGACAGAGAGAGACTCAGTCTCAAGCGGAAAAAAAATAAAACAAACCAATAATCTACTGAAGTCAGTAGAGCGGGTCTTGCTCTGTCACCTGGCCTGGAATGCCATGGCAGAGTCACAACTCATTCCAGCTTTCACCTCCCATACTCAACCGAAACTCCTGCCTCAGCCTCCCGAGTAGCTGGGACTACAGGCGCGTGCCACCACATTGGGCCCAAGGCCAGGTTTTAAAAAGTTGCATCTAAGTATTATTTACATAGGATTCCTTGTCTGCAATATATTCTACTCCAATATAAGTAGGTGGTTGATGAGTTCAAGCTTCCATGTTCACTAACTGTGTAAAAACTTAGGCAAGTTTAAATTCTCTGTGCCTTAGTTTCTTTTTTTTGAGACAGTCTCACTCTGTTGTCCAGGCTGGAATACAGTGGCACCATCTCAGCTCACTGCAACACCTCTGCCTCCCAGGTTCAAGCGATTCTCCTACCTTAGCCTCCCAAGTAGCTGGGATTACAGGTGTGTGCCACCACATCTGGCTAATTTTTGTATTTTTAGTAGAGATGGGGTTTCACCATGTTCGCCAGGCTGGTCTCAAACTCCTGACCTCAGGTGATCCGCCGCCCACCTCAGTCTTCCAAAGTGCTGGGATTACAGGCATGAGTCACTGTGCCTGGCTGCCTTAGTTTCCTTATCACTAAAATGGGGATACTAACACCTCATAGAGATATTGAGACTTAAGATGTACAGATATCTATATATACAAAAACATCAAACGTTCCTGACACAAAGTACAATACAAGTATGTACTACTACTGTTATTATTGTTATATTGCTATTATCTATTCTACTGATTCTAGTGGGATAGTTAAGCTGGAATCTCTCCAGAAAAATACACATTAGTAAAAGGTATTGAACACAACTGCAGAGGACCCAGGGATCCCAGATTAATCCTGCCAAAGATGATCCACAAGCAACTTGGTTTAGTAAAGCAGTTCTTAACCTCTTTTGTGACAAAGACCTCTTCAGTAGTCCAATTAATCTATGGGTCCCTTCTCAGAGTTTTTTTAAATTTCTAAAATATATAGGATCACAAAGTACACTAATTATATTGAAACGCAGTTGTCAAAATATTTTAAAATGTCTAATATAGCAATACGTTAAATAACAATATTTTTGACATACAGCAAGTAATGAGCATAAATATTTCAAGATATCTGCAAAAACTGTAATATATGTTAAAAAGTGATTTGTCTTGGTGACAAGGTCACAGACACTGTTGCTGCCATTAACATTTAAAGAATTTTCACTTCTTTTCCATTTAGATTTCAGTTAGAAACTAGTGAAAATAAACAAATTTTTTTCCCCAACCAAGCTCAGGTACTTACTTCCTCAATTCTATCCAAAAACCTAGATTCAGAACCTTTGACTTATGGGAAAGTGCAAAAATAATTTTGGAGCCAGAAATTTATGTTCTAGAAGCCAGACTTCAGACTTTAACCCCCACATTATTTACACTTGAATGACCTTAGATATCTAACTTCTGAGCTTTGGTTCTCTCACTGAGAATAATTCCTCTATCATGAGGTTACTGGGATCAAATACTAGTTAACAAAACGTCAAATGACCAACATGTTGTTTTTCACTAATTTTAAAACCAGATATTCAGCCCCAAATATTTAAAGACAGCTAATTTTCAATAAAACTCATATGAGAAAATGAAGAACGACATAGTGAGTCACAAAGAAAATGATTAATGGAGATACAACTTTTAAATAATAGTTTGGCAGAGATACGGTAGAATTTGTCTAACCTGGGGAGTTGGACAGGCCTGAACTGCTAACATCCCCTCCATGATTTGACATCAGCAACACCTGGATCTAAATCCCAGTTACACTACTTTACTTTTACTAAGTAAAGTTTAACTTCTGGGGCTCGGTTTTGTCATCTGTAGAATATTTTAAGTATTGCTTTAGAGACAGGAGAGGACCTAATTTAAACAATAAATGGGACTGTTATTAAAACTTACATTTTAATAAAGCCAAAGGAATCAATTTGGAAGTCAAAAGTATATTGTGGAGCTCCCGTCAATATAAACTCCTCAATCTTTCTTCCGCTCAGCAAAACACACACTTAAAACCTGTGGTATTTACATAGCATAACATTCCTAAAACAAAGTGGCTGGCAATGTCTTAAAATCCTATCTGATTTCTTATTCTGCCTAAGGAAAACAACAATGAGGATAGAAAACAGTAAACAGAATGAGTTCAGTAATTTTAAATCTTTTCATGATTTCCCCGGATGTTCCAATGAATGATTATTATTAATGTTAGATATACTCTAATGTAGCAGTCTTTTAAAACACTAAAGATGTCAAGCTTATCGGCGACACAATGTCAGTTAAACAGAAAAAAAAAACCTAAAATCATTTATTTACTTTATGCTGGAACATTATGGATTAAGATTTTCCCACGGGGGGAGGGGGGAGGGATAGCATTAGGAGATATACCTAATGTAAATGACGAGTTAATGGGTGCAGCACACCAACATGGCACGTGTATACATATGTAACAAACCTGCACGTTTTGCACATGTACCCTAGAACTTAAAGTATAATAAAAAAAAGTCGAAAAATAAAAAAATAAAAAAACAAAAATTTTCCCACAACCCGGAAAAAAAAAATCTGCCATAGGCTGGCCCCGGCTCCTAGACCCATTATACAACCTGTAAATTCCTTCCCTCATTGAAAAGATTATTTTTATGGGCATAGTTAACAAACGCCAAGTTGCGAAGTTGCAGCTTTGCTGGTTTGACGTTTTCACAATGTAAGAACAATATGATCTGGAATCTACTCAAAGCATTAGCCAGGCAGTCAGCTGACGCTTACTGCACACAAGAGGACAGAATGAAGGGAAATTAAATTTCGTATTTCTGTAAGGCAGGTCTCCAACTCTATCTTGAAAACTAAATAGGCCAACAGCAGATGTTCTAGTTTAAGTAAAAAAAGTATCTCATTGTTCAAATAACATTACAAACACCGGCTTTTCCCGGAATAAGTTTCTCTCATTCTTGGAATTTTCCTTGTAAAGGGCTTTTAATCGGTTCATAGAACCAACCCTTCATCACGCAGTTGCTGCTTGAGTAACTTTTACAAAAGGTCAAAGCGGTGCCTTTCAAGGCTTCCAAACCCTACTGGCTTCTCCTCGATTCAAAGTAACTCGCTTTCACCCACAGAACGTTCCAGAGACCTAGGGACGGGGCCCGGGCAGAATTTGGTGGAGGTTGCTCAAAGAACTTTTTCAATTTTCTTTTCAAAACACTTACCGCATTTCACCTTCCTCCATCCGTGGCCCCACATGTTGCTCGCCTCCCTCCCAGAGGGCCCTGCGAGGCCGCGCTCGGCCCCCGGAACGCGCCCACCTGATTACCCTCTCCTCTCAGACTCCGCCCCCCAACCCCCCAATGCCGTCTCCTTTAGGAGGTCCATATGGGACACTTTACCCCTCCTCTGAACCTCACGCCACACCAGACCAGCCCTCCGTTCTTCTCCTTCAATTCTTCTCCATTACGGACATCACCTCCCATAGCTTCCTAGAGTGTTGTGAGCGCGCAGAGGGAAGCTGCAGGCCTGCTCGGCCCAGGTGCTGTGTCAGCCTATCTGCCGGTTCCGCGGCGTGTACGGCCCGGAAAGTCACATGGCGGTGGGACCGGCCGGCGCCTCTACACTCCTGCTCTCCTAAGAGCAGGACGAGACTAGCAAATCCACTCACCTCCACGAAAAGCAACATGTCGTCCTCTGCTCGGCCCAATCGTTCCCGCCGCCGCAACTCCAACTGGCTCACAGGCCCGCGCCCCAATTGCTAGGATAAGGACACACACTCGCCTTGCCCCTCCACCCGGCAGTGGACCCGGCTCCTCCCCCGCCGTCAGCCGCTGCGGCCTGACCCGCCCAGTCCCACCTCCCTTGAAACAACAACTGCTTCCGGGTCTAGGGAAAAATTGTTTCCGGCAGAAAAGAGAGTCGTCGACGCGCTCAACTTTTGCACCATCTTTTCTAGCAACAGTGTGGGATGTACTATCATCTGTCGCGGGGGGGACGATTAGCAGGAGATGCCATTCTGGGGCACGGGGATGTGTAAAAATCTTAATGACACATTTTATCACTTGTCAGATAGCTACACAGCACTGATAATTCCGCAGTTTTCATAGTTCACAATCTAGATTTGATTTTTAAAGCCGACCTTTGCGACGTGTGCTGAACAAACGTCCAACCCTGCCGAAAAGTGGTGGCTCACAGAAGAAAAGTAGACAAGAAAAAAAAAAAAAAGCTATGATAGTAGTAAATACGTTAATAGCAGCTACTGTATATTAAATGCTTACATTGTGCTTGGCACTATACTGAGCATTTTATGTTAATTGATCTTAAAACAATTCTATGCAATAAATAATATTATTATCATCCCCATTTTACAGTTGAAGGAGCCCTCTAGGAGGTTGGGTTTCGCTTTGACATACCTTTAAAGAACTTTGCCCTGGGCTCATTTGAATTAGTTACCCATATCTCCACTTAATATACTAGTAACAACGCTTAATCTGTATAGTCTCTTCTTTGATATTCTGCCATTAATTCAAACGAAATACAATAAAAACAAATTTTTAAAATTATCTATAATATTTGTTAGATGGTCCAAATTCCTTATCTTTAGCAGTATGTCCCTCCCTTACCACTCCCACTTCTACGTCCTAGTTCAGACACTCATCTTTTGAAATAATCATGTATTGGCTGGGAGGGGTGGCTCACACCTACAATCCCAGCACTTTGGAAGGCTGAGGCGGACGGATCACTTGAGGTCAGGAGTTCAAGACCAGCCTGGCCAACATGGTAAAACCCCGTCTCTACTAAAAATGCAAAAATTAGCCGGGTGTGATGGTGCACACCTGTAATCCCGGCTACTCCGGAGGCTGAGGCAGAATTGCTTGAACCCAGGAGGCAGAGATAACAGTGAACCGACATTGCGCCACTGCACTCCAGCCTGAGCAACTGAGTGAGACTCTGTCTCGAAAATAATAATCATAATGGTAATGAATAAAAATTGGCCGGGCGCCGTGGCTCATGCCTGTAATCCTAGCACTTTGGGAGGCCGAGGCGGGTGGATTGCCTTAGGTCAGGAGTTTGAGACCAGCCTGGGCAACACGGTGAAACCCCATCTCTAGTAAAATACAAAAAATCAGCCAGGCATGGCAGTGTGTGCTTGTAGTCCCAGCTATGTGGGAGGCTGAAGCAGGAGAATTGCTAGAACCCAGGAGGCAGAGGTTGCAGTGAGCCAAGATCACGGCACTGCACTCAAGCCTGGGTGACAGAGTGCGACTCTGTCTCTAAAAAATAATAATAATAAATAAATAAATATGAAATAATCATGTCTTGATCTTTTCCAATGGATTTTTCCATTATATTTTTTTAAAAATCTTCCTAAAGTAAAGGTCTCATTTTCACCAAACCACTGTTAACTTGATTTCAAGACTTTGCCATTCTGATCTCATGAAATCTTCCTTGCTTTGCTGCAAATGGAATCTCCTCAGATACCACATTAATTCCACCACCAAATTGCTGATAGCTGTTATCTCAGACCCACCCTAATCTGGTTCTCGGTAAACTCCTGTTAGGTTATCTCAGTGATTAAACCAATCTCCTTACTTTCCCCCTGAGATGCAAACTCATTAGCACTCACCTCCAAAGCCATGGCTCAAGGTGTAGTCCCTATCTGGATTGCCTCCATTTGTCAATCAATCTTCTCTCTCCATAAGGTTTTCTCAAAGACTCTGCGCCTATAGATCTCTTCCTCGTGTCCCTTATTAGCACTTGATTATTATATTCTATCTTAAATCTTTGCTTTTTCTTTTTTGTTTTAGTTTCTTTACAGGAACCCTATCATATATTCTTCAGTGTAGGATAATGTAAGCAGCATAGTGTTTCAACAAATGCTTGTCGAATAGAAAGGGAAGCAGGATTTAAAAATTGACTTTAAGAAGCCTTCATGGTCAGGTGTGGTGGCTCATGCCTGTAATCCCAGCACTTTGGGAGGCTGAAGAAGGTAGATCACGAGGTCAGGAGATCAAGACGAGCCTGGCTAACACGGTGAAACCCCGTCTCTACTAAAAATACAAAAAATTAGCCGGGCGCCTGTAATCCCAGATACGCAGGAGGCTGAGGCAGGAGAATGGCGTGAACCAGGGAAGCAGAGCTTGTAGTGAGCCTTGATCGTGATACTGCACTCCAGCCTGGGCAACAGAGTGAGATTCTGTCTCAAAGAAAAGCCTTCATGTCTAGTTGCTGATTGATGAATTCCATGCTGCATAAAAGATGCAAGTGAGAGAGAAAGCAATAATGCAAAATCAGTTTAGCTGACAACTAAACTTTGGGAGGCTGAGGTGAGTGGATCACTTGAGGAGTTTGAGACCAGCCTGGCCAACACAGTGAAACCCCATCTCTACCAAAAATATAAAAAATTAGCCAGGTATAGGCTGGGCACAGTGGCTCACGCCTGTAATCCCAGCACTTTGGGAGGCCGAGGCGGGCAGATCACAAGGTCAGGAGATCGAGACCATGCTGACTAACACGGTGAAACCCCATCTCTACTAAAAAATACAAAAAAAATTAGCCGAGCATAGTGGTGGGCACCTGTAGTCCCAGCTACTCGGGAGGCTGAGGCAGGAGAATGGCGTGAACCCAGGAGGCAGAGCTTGCAGTGAGCCGAGACTGCGCCACTGCACTCCAGCCTGGGCCACAGGCGAGACTCCATCTCACATTAAAAAAAAAAAAAAATTAGCCAGGTGTGGTGGCGCACGCCTGTAATCCCAGCTACACAGAAGGCTGAGGTAGGAGAATCACTTGAACCTGGGAGGCAGAGGTTGCAGTGAGCTGAGATCGCGCTACTACACTCCAGCCTGGACAATAGAGTGAGACTCCGTCTCAAAAAAAAAAAAAAAAGAAAGAAAGAAAGAAAAAAATATATATATACACTTGTAGTAAAACTATGTAAAAGTAGACTCAAATATATAAAATTCATGATTGTCATTTCATCTGGAATGGGACAGTGGGGAAGGAAGGAACCGGGGGTTGGGAGACATCAAAGAGGACTTCGACCTTCTCTAATGCTTTTTTTAATTTAAAAAATATCTAAAGCAAATATTAAACAAAAATTAGCCAGGTGTGGTGGCGCGTGCCTGTAATTCCAGCTGAGGAATCTGAGAATCTGGGAGGCTGAGGCACAAGAATCTCTTGAACCTGGGAGGCAGAGGTTGCAGTGAACTGAGATCATGACACTGTACTCCAGCCTGGGTAATAAAGTGAGACTCTGTCTCGAAAAAAAAAAAGAAAAGTATAAAGAGTAAGCAGTGCAAAGAGTGTGATCCTCATCCAAATAATATCATCCAAGTTACTTCATCCAAATGATATCATCCAAGTTACTACATGTCTAGGAAAAGTTAAGGGGCAGCTGAGGAAGTAGTTGTAACCCTTATTCCATTACAGTGATATTTGACGCACCTAGATTTTTTTTTTTTTTTTTTTCTGAGACAGTTTCACTCTTGTTGCCCAGGCTGGAGGGCAATGACACAATCTCGGCTCACCACAACCTCTGCCTCCCAGGTTCAAGTGATTCTCCTGCCTCAGCCTCCTGAGTAGCTGGGACTACAGGCATGCGCCACCTCGCCTCGCTGATTTTGTATTTTGTTTTTTAGTAGAGACAGGAGTTTCTCCATGTTGGTCAGGCTGGTCTCGAACTCCGACCTCTGGTGATCCACCTGCCTCGGCCTCCCAAAGTGCTGGAATTACAGGCGTGAGCCACTGTGCCCAGCCAACATATCTAGATTTTAAGGTTATTTAAGCAGGGCTATATCTTCTATTTATTTTAGCATTTCTATTGTCTATTATTTCCTACCCTCCTTCCCCCCTTCACCCTTCTACCATGGCAGCATATAGAATGACCAGTTCTCTGCACATAGTAAGCACTCTTTACATGTTTGATCAATGATAATGTCACAATGGGTCTATTGTGACATCAACAGGACTGGAATATCATGGTAGCCACCAATTAGCAGCAGAGTATGCCACAACTTCTGGGAGCAGGAAAGACCTCTCCTAGCTTCCTACTGGATATCTTTATTAGCATTTTCGTAGATTCTGTGAAAAAGAAGAAATAAAAGGATATCACCCACATCTTCAAAATGTTTTTCAAAATGAAAAATGAGATAGACGATGACCCCGAATCAGAAAAATACATCAAGGATTCCACCATCATGAGAAGAGAGCCCCAAAATGTCCTTAGTCCTTTGGTGCTCCCTAACCTTGAGATCCCATTCTCAGTAAAGGATATCATCGCTAAGATTGAGCGCGCACAGCTCCATCGAGCAAGAGAGGTAGGTAGTGAATCTGAAGTTTACAAACTGCAATTTTCTTTTCAAACTTTCTGTGACCGAGTACATTTTTGTTTATTTAAGAAATCACTTTCATGATATTTGACTGTATTTAGGGTTGCTTTGACTTCAAATGACAATTTCACCTGACACCGACTGTGGATATAACAAGCTCCAATTTGACATTATATCAGGTTTAATAAAGCCATTTATTAAATCTTTATATCAGGTTTAATAAAGCCATTTAAGAAATAAATCAAGGCAGGCATGGTGGCCCATGCCTGTAATCCCAGCACTTTGGGAGGCCAAGGTGGGCGGATTGCCTGAGGTCGGGAGTTCGAGATCAGCCTGACCAACATGGAGAAACCCGTCTCTACTAAAAATACAAAAAGTTAGCTGAGCGTGATTGCACATGCCTGTAATCCCAGGTGCTCGGGAGGCTGAGGTAGGAGAATCACTTGAACCCAGGAGGCGGAGGTTGTGGTGAGCTGAGAATGCACCATTGCACTCAAGTCTGGGCAACAAGAACGAAACTGTCTCAAAAAAAAAAGAAGTTTTCATTTGTTCCCTGTGGAGGTTTTATCAAATAGCTATTAACCAGATAGAATTTAGATTGCTTTGAATTCTAGCTTCTTTTATTTTCCCTGTACACTTCAAGGAGAAATTAGGAGACATTCAAGGACAATAAGAAGAGTGTTTAAATAATGTCAGCTGGGTGCGCTGGCTTATGCCTGCAATCCCAACACTTTGGGAGGCTGAGATGGGAGGATCCCTTGAGGTCAGGAGTTAAGAGACCAGCCTGATCAATATAGAGAGACCCAATCTATATTTTTAGAAAAATAAATAAATAACATAGGAATTGAATAGACCCCCAAACAATTAAGGTTATGCTGCGTTTTATTCTCTTGAAGCACAACAAAGTTAGGCCAGGCACAGCGACTCATGCCTGTAATCCCAACTCTTTGGGAGGCCAAGGCAGGAGGATCTCTTGAGTCCAGGAGTTCTAGACCAGCTTGGCCAACATAAGGAGACCTCCTGTCTACTAAAAATAAAAAAATTAGCCAGGCATGGTGGCTCCAGTCTGTAGTCCCAGCTCCTTGGGAGGCTGAGGCCAGATGATTCCCTGAACCCAGGAGACTGCACTGAGCACCATGCTTGCATTACTGCACCCCACTCAGCATGGGTGACAGAGCGAGACCCTGTCTCAAAAACAAACAAACAAACAAACAAACAAAAATCAGTCATGTTTGATGAAATTGATTAAGGGGGAGTTCTTTCCTATGTTTAAGGAAAGCTAAAGTGGTCACAATGGCTCATGCCTGTAATCCCAGCACTTTAGGAGGTCATAGTGAGAGGCTCACTTGAGGCCAGGAGTTTGAGACCATCCCAGGCAACAAAGCAAGACCCTGTCTCTACAAAAAATTTAAAAATTAGCCAGGAGGTGGTGGTATGCACTTGCAGTCCCAGCTACTCGGGAGGGCAGAGGGAGACTCTATCTCAAAAAAAAAAAAAATGGAGTGTTAGCCAGGCACAGTGGCTCACTCCTATAATCCCAGCAATTTGGAGGCCAAGACAGGAGGATTGCTTGGGACTTGGAGTTCAAGACCTGTCTGGGCAACATAGTGAGACCCCTGTCTCTCTCTCTCCATAGACAGATAGATGATAGATAGATGACTGATTGATAGATAGATAGACAGATAGATTGATCGATTTTTTTTTTTTTTTCTGAGACAGACTCTCATGCTGTTGTTCAGGCTGAGTGCAGTGGCGCGATCTCGGCTCACTGCAACCTCCATCTCCTAGGTCAAAATGATTCTCCTGGCCGGGCGCGGTGGCTCAAGCCTGTAATCCCAGCACTTTGGGAGGCCGAGACGGGCGGATCACGGTGGTGGGGCAGGGCCCTGTAATTCTCAGCGCTAGCTTGCGAGCGTCCGGAGGCAGAGAGAATCATTTTTTTTTTTTTCTTTTTTTTGGAGAGACGGAGCTCGCTCGTGTCGGCCAGGCTGGAGAGTGCTCGTGGCCAGATCTCGGCTCACTGCAGCTCCGCCTCCCCGGAAAGAGAGAGTATCACCAACCATTGCTCCTGCCTCAGCCTCCCGAGTAGCTGGACTGGACAAACGCCCGCCACCATCGCCTGGCTAATATTTTTTGTGTTTTTAGTAGACGGGTTTCGCCGTGTTAGCCAGGATGGTTCTGCGAATCTCCTGACTTGTTGATG